ATTTTTCAGAATTTACACTGCATTATTGCATATGGAGTTGTGAAGCGCTTGGCTCTCCGGTGCGATTGTGCATTTTCGCACTAAACTCGCTGATCGCTATTAGCAGGAATGATCCTTACGCTGTAGCCTAACACTTGGGTCACATTGGCGTGCTTTGATCCTTTCCGGCATGCAGGAAGAAGGGCGTTAGTTGGGTTGTGATTGGGAAGGCAGTGACTGCAAGATGTCCGGAGTAGCCCTTTGTGACCATGACTTGGCGAGGTACTTCTGAGGCCATAAGGATAATTGGGAGATGTTGCGCAGCGCATGTCAGGTATTTGTCAATGACGAAAAGGCTATTTATAATAGATAAGCTATTTAGGAGAATTAGTAAGTATTGTGGCTATTAGGTGCAGCTCGCGCGAAAACTTTAATTACGTTAATAATAAAATATCCAGTCAAAAAAAAAAAAACAAATAAATAGCAACGCGCACCAGACTAGCCGTGCGATCATGTGTTTTGTGCAATTTGTAATTGTAATAAATAGCAACGCGCACCAGACTAGCCGGTGCGATCATGCGTCTTTGTGCAGTTCAACCCATCGAACGATTGCCTGTTAATGATTTTCACTTCCTTGTATTTTAGTCTATGCAAAAATAGTTCTACCATCGAACGATTGCCTATTAATGATTTTCACTGCTTTGTACTTTAGTCTATGCAAAAATAGTTCAAACGCTGGAAAACAGTTAAAAATTTCACGCACCAGCGCATGAAAGCTTAATTCGAAACCTTGAAGGGTGAATATCTTTCCATGTTTCCCGATTAATAGTTTACCCGCCAAAATTTTCACGAGGCCGTAGGTGGTACCCGAGAGCGCGAGAACGCTGATTTTGAATGGTCAAGGTTGGGCGGGGGCAGGAAGTCATTCCCCTAAAATTTCAGCCTCCTAGACTCCGTGATTTCCGAGATATTAACTTACCCGTGAAAAACTTTCATTTGCGGGGCCACACATTCACGGGGCCGTTTGTGTTACCTGTGGTACGGGGAAGCTGAATTTAAATTTGCGGGGTCACACGTACAGGGCCGTACGCGTTACCCGCGGGTACGGGGAAGCTGAATTTAAATTTGCGGGGTCACACGTGGTTAAAAAACTTTCACAGGGCCGTACGCGTTACCCGCGGGTACGGGGAAGATGAATTTAAATTTGCGGAGTCACACGTGGGTTTACCCTAAATTTTCAGCCTCCTAGCTTTTGTGGTTCCCGAGTTGAAAGTTGCGGACAAGTTGCTGTGGACACACACACACAACACAGACAACCCCGTGACAATATGCGTTTTGTACTGCTGTTACACAGCACAAAACGCATAAAAAGAGCGATCAGGGCAGCGCGAGCATGGTGCGTTCAATGAGCGAAGTTAGAATGGGCGCTGTGCGTGAAGCACTGGGGCAATCAGTAGATAACACAGTGCACTCGCTGTGCACTAGGGGAGGCAAACTGCCGTCCCCTAAAACGGTACAACAATACTATTGAATACAATGCATAAGACGGGAAACAAAACACATCTAGGTCACTGATACCTCCCGCCGACGCAGAAGTCGTACATCACAGTAAGTACTGGAAAATTTGGAATGCTACTAAAATGT